TAATCCACTTCTCTCTCGCACCAGCCGAGGAAATTGAATTGAGTGAACCCGCACTTTTGAAGCAAGAGGAGACTGTTGTAAAGCCGTTATTTCAATTGGCTCAGCAACGTGTGGCGTGTATTCGATCCCTGTTCAACCTTCCTGCCCTGTTGCGTAATTGACGTTTATGAAAACAGATTCGTACCGAGTCTCAGCACGCTGCAAGCCGCGATAAGCTAGCAGAATTTCGGCAAGGGACCATTTGCTTCTACGGCCAACTATATACATGTAGCGTATAGATCAGAATTGATAGGCGTGTACACTGTAAGCTTAAACGTGTTCATCTTCTCTAGGCAAATCTCATGAGAACGGTGTCTGCTTCTTTTGAGTTTGTTCTACGAATTTCGCACGTTCGTCAGTGAGCGCTACGTGATGCCCGTATTTCTATGCAGAACGTACGCTCTCGTTACCATCAGTGGCAAATTTGTTTTCAATTTGGTTAGGGCATCTTGCCGCGAGATAAATGCGATCCTGGAAGAGCTGAAAAAAATGGAGTAAGCCGCAGTCCTTTTGAAGATCTGAGATTTTTCATAAAGAATACTTATTAAGCCGACATCGTGTGCTGTTATCAGAAGCTTGTGTGTAGATAAGGCAACACAATATAGAATTATCTTTCTGTCATATATAAAGGTTGATTCAAACCACTTACACATAACACTTCCTTAGTGTAAAGAAAAAATTAAAAAATCATACTATTCATAACAATCACCTAGTGATTTTTTTTGGAACTTATTGTTATATATATAATGGATCTATACAAAAATAAAATGAATTTCAAAATGTGGGCGCCCATCGAATTCATTTAGGAAAGTCAGACGAAACACGGATTTTTTTGGACAAAACTATAATAACATGCACCTTTGTACAAATGTTTCTCAAGTTGCCCCTAGGTGGCTCAGCGGTAAGTCGGCTAAAAATCAGGTTTCGATACCCGCGGTGGGTGTATATATATATATATATATATAACCCTTTGTGGAGCTTTGCGCTTAACAAGAAACAACAATAAACCTCAAGATCCGCAGTAACAGACGGACATTCAACTTCTCCGTAATATCATAAGTGGGTACCACCCTGCACTATCTTCGCGATCTGAAACTAGGTTACAAAACGTAAACAAACAGAGAGAAAACTAAACGGTTGACATATTAAACCCTGTGACTAACACTACAACTATTATTTGGTCTCTACATGAACTAGTTTTTGTAGTAAAATATTTTCAAGTTATTCATTTTTCGATAGACGAACTAAAACGGCGACGCATGCTGTAGTCGTTCTGAAATGCCTTCCTCTCTGCAAGATGTAAATTACCTCAATTAGATGAAAGAAAAACTAGAAAGATTTCTTTTGACCAAACAGTTTTTTTGGCCCTGGAATTAACCAACATTCATACAAACAGTGAAAATGATAGAACTCCGAAAAATCTATGCAACATTCATACACTTGTTTGTTTGTAGTTAAGCACAAAGCTACACAATGGGCTATCTGTGCTCTGCCCACCACGGGTATCGAAACCCAGTTTCTAGCATTGTAAGTCCGCAGACATACCGCTGTACCACTGAGGGTCAAATAGTCTACAGAACTAGTGCTTGTTGTAATTGGTTATTTTACGAACGCGTTTGAGTAAATAGTGTCAATTAAATAAGCACCGTGTTCGTTGTTTATCATTTTCAGATGGTGAGTGTTATCTAAAAGTGTCGTCCAAACAGAAGTGGCTTAGCAGTAAATCAGAAGACTTCTAACGTTAAAAAAGGGTTCCACAACATGGATAGCACGATGTGTAGCTTTGTGCTTAAGAACAAAAAAAAACAACTTTTTCATGTGGAACCCTAAGTTAAAAATGTATAGTAATACCAATGGAAATCATAAATACTCGCAACAGTGGATGAACAGTTTGGTTTCCGGTATTTTCGGTTTCTGGATGCCGGTATTTTGCTTGTAGATTTTACGGCGAAATTAAAATCTAGTCGTCCAATATCTAGTATCAGACAAACCTTTGTGTTTTCACTGGTTAAAACTGTTTCTTATATTTATAACAGTTTGGCTACGACAAGACAAACCATTGTGTTAAAATTTCAATCCCCACAATTCAATTTTATGCATATCAAGTATCTGATAATTCACGGTGTAATCGGATACGCAAGTGGCTGTTCATTCATCACATTCTTGTATATGAACATTTAGTAGGTGCTTACAGTTTATGAAACTTTATGTAGTATGAAAGGTGTGCTCGGAATCAGAGTATTCTCTGCAACACTTTAGAAACGAGTTATTTCAGGATAAGCTCAGCGTCCAGGTCACTCTATTCAGTCAATCCTATCTTCCTTGACGGGTGTGCCGACTGTTTTAGCACGGTGGACATGAGCATCTATTAGACTAAAGGTGGGGTTAATTGCACACATGTGGTCTTAATGCAGGGTCTAGAGGTTAGTAGGTCCACCTGTATTTATTCTTGCCTATAATAATCATCCAATACTACTACATGCGTCATGTTCCATTGAGAAAATGAAATTGCATTAAGTCTATATATATTCTCTCCAAATATGACCAGTTATTTCTGTTCCACTGAACATTTCCTTGGCATCATTGCAGTCATGCTGTTTTCATTTTGAGCTAGTTTTGGCGTTTCGCAACAGGTTTGACTTGTGAAGTCTTCTCTATCCGTCTGTACAGTGACAAGACGTCCCGTTTCAACTGCGAACATTTTATTCAATCTCGGAGTAGGTACTCTACGACTTTTGCGAACTATATTCTTGAGATAGGGGTTGCCTGCTCGCGTTATTAGTTTTTTTTGTAAATTCGCGCAAAGCTACACGAGGGCTATCTGCGCTAGCCGTCCCTAA